TTGCAACAAACTTATCTGAAAAGACAAGGGACTAACAAACGACATGGAACTTTTTATGTAGAGCCTCGATGGGCTTGTACATGCCCTGTTTTCCCTCAGCCTGTTTACCTGCTTGAAGTTTCATTTCCAAATATTGTTTTGCTTCCCTTTTTTTTTTTTTCCTTCAAATAATTTATTATAATGTTTGTTTCTTGCATTCTGGATTTGACGGCTTGGCTACATGATTTTTTTTTCTTGGCATGTGACTTTCTTGTTCTTCAATTTTTTTGGCTTTAGCTTGCTCAAATGGTTTGCGTGGAACATTGTAGTTTATCTTACTATGTTTTCAGTTTGGTAGGTCGCTTAAGCTCTACTTGAACCAGTGAAACCTGCTCGGTTATGTGAGCTCGAAGTACCTATAAATTAGGAGAAAAGAAGAAATCTTGAATCACACGATTGCTCAGAGAAGAAGAACACGATCGCAAGCAAGAAACAGAAATTCTTGATCAAACTTGAAGAGCGGAAGTAGAAGAAGGGTCGAGAAGAATTGTGCGAGCAGTTATGGCGATGGATACCATGTTAATGTACATAGAGATTGAAGAAATAGAGAGAATCAAGAACTAGAGAGAGAAAGATATAGAGAGAGGAGACTGAATATTCTTTGTATTGATTACTTAATGATCAAGTCATTACATTGAAGCTTATATAGCACACAGCTAACAAAGACAATATGAGCATCATGAAGGAGAGCAAACTACTAAACGCACAATCTTACACTATTTAATATATCCTAACACAACCTACAATTGAATATCAGAGTGCGCCACGAACAAGATTACAAAATAGAATATTATTAAACAAACAACAATGCCGAAAAGACTACAAAACCCTAAGGGTGCGTTTGTTGCACCGGATTATCTCAGAATGGACTAGCTTCAAGGACTAAGTTAGACTGGCTTAGGCTAGACTAAGCTGGATTGATTTAGTGATGCGTTTGGTGCAGTGTCGGACTAAAAAACAGAATAACTAATAACTATAATATTATATTATATAATACACATATAATAATATTTTATTATTAATTCAATAATATTTTATTACTAAATCAAGCTTTTTCCTTTTTATTTCTAAAGTACACGCACCACCTCTCTCTCTCTAGAGAGTTCTTCCCTTTTCTTCCTCTTTAATTCGTCCCCGTCACTTCCTTTCTCCATCTTTTTTCCTGCAACACAACATCCTTCAAATCATTCTTCTTGCAAATCGTCCCCATGCTACTATCCTCTCCCTCTCTATCTCTCCATATCTCTTTGTCCCAAAGCTACTCTCTCCCCTTCTCTATCCATTATTTTCGAAATTTTCTGGGGAAAAGGAAAAAAATTTGGAAATTTTATGGGAATTTTCGGGAATAAAGAAGAATTTTGCTATTGGGATTGTTGTTTATCATCATTTTGCATATATGTTTTTGAATTTTGGTGTTGAGATTTAGGCAGTGGGTGGGGCTGGGTTTCAGATCTGAATATGGGTTGGCAAACAGAGTTGCCCAGAAGCATTTTTGCAGATTTGCAGTTCACAAGCCTTGCTGCATGTGATCGTTCTATGCAAGTTTGGAGACGGGATCAGCAATCTCATGGTTTTTAGGGGGCTTTGCTAAGACTGGCTAGGCCCTGTTTTAGTCGGGGCGAGTGAGAGCTAATCTCATTAACTCTAAGCCCCATGGGGAACAATCACGGGACTGGACTAAGCCTTAGGCTAGTGAACTTTAGTGAAGGAAAACAAACACCCCCTAAGAGGCTACATTGTGACTAACTTATTTCTCAAACTAAATTACAAGCAATATTTATAAAAAAACTAAACCTAAGAATCCCTAACTAGGATGGGCTAGGCCCAAATCCTAAACTAACAAGGAAAACCCAAATATTAAAATAAACATAAATATTAATATTTTCCAACACCCCCCGAGGTCAAATTCATGGCGGTACACGACATGAGTTTGCCAATAGACAATGTGGATGCAAGCTTGTTATGCTAATTTTACGATGCCAATTTCAATACGAAATTCCATCGGTACAAGTGCAAGATTCCAAATTCCAGTGCTATGCCAGGGCCAATGCCATTGAAATGCCAATGCCAATGCTAATGCCAATTTCCAATCCAAGTTCAAGCTACCATGTCCAATAGCGAGCTTTCGAACAAGCCTGAACAAACAAGCAAAAAACCCAACTTTCACAACGTTACTCGAGTAGTCACCAATCCAAACACTCGAGCAATCGTCACAGAAGGCAACACCAAACCTCCTAATACAAGCCAAACAGCATCAACAAACTCATTGTGGGCCTGCAACTTCAAACAAAAGTGGACCCCAAAGACTTCTAACCAATTTTTTTCCCTTGCCCGTGTGGGGATGCAATGCAGGAAACGATGTGGTGATGCATCTGGTGAGATGCAGATCAAACGCTGGAGTACAGGACAATAACGAACGACAAACAATGAACAGTGACAATTTTATTTATTTATTTATTTATTTTACTTCCACCAATTTATCTAAACTAGAACAATCAAACAAAGGAAGACGACAACAAATTGACACGCGACATGCAAGAGCAAATTAAATCTCGAAGAATCAAACCTGCTCTGATACCAAGTTGTATATCAGAGTGCGCCACGAACAAGATTACAAAATAGAATATTATTAAACAAACAAGAATGCCAAAAAGGTTACAAAACCCTAAAAGACTACATTGTAACTAATTTATTTCTCAAATTAAATTACAAGCAATATTTATAGAGAACTAAACCTAAGAAACTCTAACTAGGATGAGCTACGTCCAAATCCTAAACTAACAAGAAAAACCCAAATACTAAAATAAACATAAATATTAATATTTTCCAACACCTACTCCTTGGACATTTGGAATAGCCTTTCTTTAAGGTTACGGGATCGCAACGAACTTTTCTGAAAAGAAAAGGGACTAACAAACTACATGGAATTTTTTATGTAGAGCCTCGATGGGGATGTACATCCCGGTTTTCCTCAGTCTGTTTACTTGCTTGAAATTTCATGTGAAAAAATTGCTTTGCTTCCCTCTTTTTTTTTTTTTTTTTTTTTTTTTTTCTTCAAATAATTTGTTAAGATGTTTGTTTCTTGCATTCTGGATTTGACGGCTTGGCTACTTGGACCCTTTTTTTCCTTGGGCATGTGACTTTTTGTTGTTCAATTTTTTGGCTTCAGCTTGCTCAAATGGTTTGCGTGAAACATTGTAATTTATTTTACTATGTTTTCGGTTTGGTAGGTCGCTTAAGCTCTACTTGAACCAGGGAATCCTGCTCGGTGATGTGACCTCGAAGTACCTATTAATCAGATAAGCAAACCCAACTTTAACTTGCAGGTGCACAAGACCAATAGTAGTATAGTAAGAGCAAGTATATGAAGTCGTCCCCACGAGTATTGATATTTACTTTAATTTGAGTCTCAACTCAATTCAAATTCAAACTTTTAACAAAATAGGGCTGAAAATTATCTATTCTAAAGTTGGTGGGCAATTGGCCTGTTCATGGCTACAGTAAAACAAATACCCCTCGATTTCATCTTATTTGCAAGAAACCCATCTGATATGGGCTGGGTTGGGAGGGTAATTCTCAAAAGTTCAGAGGGTTATTTTGTCCACATGGTGTAACACGGAGCCACTCGATTTCATGCTATTTACAACATTACCAGCCATATGGGGCTGGGTTGGGAGGGTAATTCTTAAAAGTTCAGAGGGTAATTTTGTCTGTTTGGTTTAGCACGGATTGCTGGGTTACATGTGTGCGCTCTCCTCTCATCTCTCACTCTTCCTCTTCCTCCTACGCGAGCACTCTCTCATCTCTCACTCTTCCTGTTTCTGTCCATCTCTAACCCTAGCAGCCATAACACCATCTCTGGAATAGCATTAGCTAGTGATGGGCAAAATACCCATGGATTTGGGTAACCGTGGTTACCCGCCCATTTAAAGTTCATGGTTATGGTTATGGGTAACCGTTTAGATGAATAAACAATTATGGGTATAACCATTTATCCATGAAATTTAAATGGACGGTTATGGGTATTACCCACGATTATAACGGGTATCCATCGGTTATGGGTATTACCCACGGTTATAACGGGTATCCATTTACCCATTTAATTTAATATATGTAAAATTAAAAAAAAAATAAAAACAGTAAATGAAAAGTCAAATTAGAATTAACGTCAATTTTTTGCTGCCATGAAGTTGGAATTGAAAGAACCTGAGATGAATTTTTGTTGGTTTTGATTATTTGGAGGAGAAAATGTCGATGGACAAAAAGTGCTTGTGGAATATTTGAAAAAATGTGGAAGATTGTGAACCAATTGATATTATGTACTTTTGGAATTTTGTTATGTTCAAGTTAAGAAAGAAGCTTTTAGTTCCTTTAACTTTACCATAAAGTTACAACTGACAAGGTTAATTGACGTTATTTTGTAGCTTTGAATCATCTAGTATTCAAGACAATGACTACTTTTTGTTTTTAGAAGCTTTACTTTGTAATCATATGGATTATAATTAAAGATTTGCTTAGGTGTAGCAGAAAAATATCGTTCGTAAATTATTATTTCAATTATTGAAATTGTATAAGGACTTAAATGACTACAATAAGGAAATGCATGCTAAAATGTACCTATAACGGTGTTTAATTGTCAGAAAACAAAAATTATGATTCTTTTGTAATTTTCAAGTTGTTAAAAAAAAACATGTAGATAGGTGAAAAATGGTTAAATGGGTAAAAAAAGGATAAATGGGTAAATGGGTAAATGATTATGGTTAAATGGGTAAATGGTTATAGTTAAATGGGTATACGGTTATAGGTATGGTTAATCGTTTATAAACGGTTATGGGTATGGGTATAACCGTTTATGCAATTACCCAATGGGTAAACGGTTATGCGAGTATAAACATAAACGATTATGGGTAAATAACCGCGGTTACCTGCCCGCCATAACCATTGCCCCATCCCTAGCATCAGCTCCTGCTTCTTAAAACCAAAACCACACAAACTGGCCTCCATTTTTGTAACTCGAGAGCTTCGGTGAGATGAAGGAGAGGAGCAGGGAGATGGGCTTGAGTCCGCCAACGGCGGAAGAGATCTTCAGGTATTATAGTGCTCCGAGAACCAATGTCGTCCACTCCTTAACTAGCGGTACTCCGATCTCTCTCTCTCTCCTCTGTTTCTCTCTTAATTTCCTTTTTGTTTTGTTTGAATTTCTTTTTTGTGATTTTTGATTTACAAATGGATTTTGTGTTCGAATTTCCTTTTTGTGATTTTGGGGATTTTGTTTGTGTTTGCAGTTATGCAGCTCAGACCATCACGATTCACCATTGTCACCCCATCACTGCCGTCGCGACCACCGAGGCCACATCACCGCCGTCGAAAACACTACCATACCATCATCCTGCAAAAGCTTAGGTAATTTCTAAATTAGGGTTTTTTCATTATGTGAATTTCTACCTCGATATGTTCATAAGGTCGAAGGAGGTCTTCCTTTATAGATTTAGTTCATCCTCTATGTTATTTATTTGAGTCACTAACAAATGGGTTTATGTTGTCTGTGAACAGAGAGAGAAAATATAACCATACCTGTGTGGTTGCTCTTCAAATTGGTGCATTATCAATGAATGGATCACGTCAGGTTGTGTTTTCAGTTTATAACCATAAATATTATCCATGTAATTTCAGCTTTGTTGTCAGATGGAAATTGATGTTTAATAGCTGTAGTAAAAGAAATATTGCTTTTGGTCATGTTGGGTGACCTACTCTCCTCGAGATAATTAGAAAACTCTTTTGAACATGCTCTTTTAATTTTTGAGTGTAAAGTTCCAATTTTTTTTCCATTTTCATGTGATGAATCATATTAATGTAGAGAATCATATGCAAGACAAATCCTAAACCTTTTTTTCCATCGTCCAGATCGTGTCAAAGGCTGGGCATCCAGCTGCTTTGCCCCTCTCCATCTGATGTTGCCCCCTTGGCAGTTCTATCACTACTGTGAAAGGGCTGGAGCTTTTTGGTGAGCAATCTGCTACTTTACATCCTTTGTCTTTCTATTTGGAGATTCTTATTTTGTTCCCACCATAATTAACACGGTTTCTTTGATTACAATTCAGGCGTCAAACTTAGTGATGCTTCAAAGAAATTGGGGAAAACATTTGCTAGGTATGATGGATATTATATTGTTTTGTCAGTATGCGATGATAGGAAATTTCCTCAACCAATCTCAATCCTTTGCAGTCCTTTGGTATCAAGGTGTTTTTTTTTTTAATCTTGCGCGCTATGTGCAATTACATATGTGTGAGAGACTTTTTAAATTAGATGCACTACGTGCTTCTTACGGATTTTATAATGTCATATTCTCATTCGGTTGCTGTTTTAAATTTGGGCTTTCATTTGGTTGAGCATCCTTCTCTCCAAAAGGTAACATTGTTTCTAATGCCTAATCAAATTTTGATTTCTTAGGTCATTACAATTTATGTAGTTTTGTGAAGAGAAATTGTTTACAAGCGCAAACAACTGCCAAATTTTATTTTGAAGTCTTAATATGCCTATAGAACCATATAATTATGGGAGCGAACCAGTTCGCTGATCAAAGACGTTAAGGCTGCTCTCATTGATGCAATTGGGACATTGGTCAGAACCCCTTTCTCCCCATTTTTGTTTATGCTAATTTGAATCGGTTATGTGTGTATATATATATTTTTTGAATCCTTATCAAAGTTGGTTTCTTTAATGAAATGCAGAGGCTATTCAGAAGGAATTGAGGAGGAGAGGGAAGGTTTTGGCATCGAAAAAGTCATCTCAGATGGCTGCTGAGGGCTTTCTGGCTCAGGCTCAGAATGAGAACAAGACTGCTATTATTGAACATAACTGTAAGACTGACTTTGTTGCTCGATATATTTCAATACTTGGTAAGTGTGACTGATATCATTCCTCCTTATTTTTTTTTTGTTCTATTTGATTAGTTGCTATTATAAGTATATGGTTGCGTACTTAATTTCAGTCGTCCTTTTTTCCCCTTATTTCTTCTTCCTCTGCTTCGCTTTTGCTGCTGCTTCTTCTTCTTCTTCTTCCCCCTTTTGGTTCCCCCTCTCTTGCTTTATTTCTTCTGATATTTTCTCTCTTTCTTGATCTCTTCAAAATCGCACAACATTCTTTGTAGTTGGAGGCTTTTGCTCTGTTGGGTTTGTTTCCAATAACTCAAAGGGCCGAAAGGTATTCCCTTTTCATATTCTTCTCTCCCAATTTCTTTAGGGTTAATTTCAATTTTCTTATGCTATTTGCAGTGGTGCTTTTTAGGGTTTAACTATTTGATTTCACAGATTCATTACAGACACAGTAAATAGGTACATTTTAAATTCATATTTCATAACTTGGTTGCTTGATTCTACTGCCACTGTTCATTGGCTTCTCCTACGAGACAACAAGGGTATGCAGAGATCATAATAGATGGGGTTTTTATTTTTTTTTAATATCTTTTACATAATGCTCTTAAATTTCAACATCTTATTTATAACAATGTTGCCAAAATGCACTTTAATTATCAGGTATGTCACTATGGAAGAACTAGAGCAAGTCCTCCACGAATACGGCTTACATGGTGAATTTTAATCTTTCCAGGTACACCCATATCTATATCCTAAACAACTGTTATTATGTATCAATTTGTTAGAGTCAACAAATGTTAAAGTCAATTTATATAATTTATTTTTTGCTTTCCAGGTACAACCATATCTCACTCCCTCTGGTACTCTCTCTCTCTCTCTCTCTCTCTCTCTCTCTCTCTCTCTCTCTCTCTCTAAAATATTTGTTGGGTTTCTACCAATATGTCAATTTGTATAATTTATTTTCTCTCATGTAGAGTCATTTTATGGTACAATGTGTTTATCGGTTCTCATGTCCAATTTTTTCTTTCTACTTTCAGTTAAGTTTTTTTTGTATGTTATGTTTTCATGGAATCTCTTGCACAGATTTCAATTACGTTGTACTTGAATGTCCTGAACTCAAGTCAATCAGGAATTTTTTTTTTGGTTGAAACCATTGAATTTCGTTGCACTTGAATGATATAGATGTGGGGAATACATTTACGTAAGGATTAACTTTAACCATTGAATTTTATTTCATTTTTCCTTGGAGCTTGAGTAACGAGATCATCAAATTCTTATATTCATTATCTGTGAGAATAAACTACATGCATAACAATATTGTTACACTTCTACTTTTATTGGGTTTTTATAGAGTTTGTGTGTTTGCTTAGTCTTGCCTTGGAGTTGGATCCACTTTGTGTAATGGATTGTGATTTGTTTGAAAATATCTTTAGTGATGATTTTGAGTATAATGTGTTTTCCTAATACTGTTTTTCTCCCCCTTTGTAGTCCAGTCGTGCAGAAGACATCTTCATTAACCGGTAACAGATGAAATAATTTGTTGTCGAGTTTCCCGTGTAGAAAGGCGAAAATGCTACAAGTGGAGGATAGATAACAACTCAAGACACATGGTATGAGGGTGCAGGTAAATTGTACATATGCATCTGCAAAAAGTTAACAGTTTTGTATTCGATTTTTTATGTTTTTCCAGTGTAAGGCATATGTTGCATAAGCATGTAAATGGTACAAATTATTTGGTTTTGGATAGTAAACTTTGAGTTTTACAGGAAAAATCAAGAAAATGTGTCACTCCTCTATTCCTTTGTTCCCTCAAGATTATGTTTAATTTATTCAAGTTAAATGTGTCTTATTTATGTAGTTAAGACTGATGCATTCAAGGTCCCGCAGCAAAGCGCGGGCATATTTTCTAGTTTTAACTAGAATGAACTAACCAAGGAGATCTCAAAACCCTAAATTACGAGTGGGAGGGAAGAATATTTGAGTGCTTGTAATTGTTGCTCCATCTGATTCTACAGTAAGCAAGGCTCCTATCATTGTGTGTGATTAGTTTACTTTTATGTTCTCGATCGCTTATATATCATTTTGCTCTTATTGGTTTGAGGAAATAAAGGCTCAAACTTCCTGACCTTTTCATGATACTTAAAGAAATCCATTGAAATCTTACTAAATTGTCTAACAAATGGGCAATTTGATTCTTACTGTTGGAGGAAAGATCATCAGTTTTCAGTTATAATGCAGAAAGAAAGAATACAAGCAAATATATATGGAGGATGAGTTTTGAACGGGAGCTGAAATTAACTTAACTTTATTGCTCTCAAGTTTTTATTACAACACTAGGCCATCTTATTATTGGCTATTTATAATAACATTCAGACCTTTTGATAACAACCATAACTCTTGGATTAGTTTCGAGAGACACAACTCTACATTACAGAAAGTGCATTACGTTTAACACTTACATCATTGACATGATCCTAGTTGATCTAAGGTTGTTACATATATCCTCCTTAGGTTCCAGAGTAATCCTCTCTAACTCCTGCTGAAATCTCTCCATGGCCGAGAATGGCAAGCACATTGGTACCAATATTCCATCCTCAGTGTTGTTTTTGTGTTGAATGTAGAAGCTAATCAAATCCATGGCCTTGGCGGGTCCAGCAAATATCGGTTGTCCCCATCCAAAATTGACATCTCCAACACCTACACGCGTTATATCAGAAACTAAAAAATTACTTCCTGTCGATGAATATTGAGGTCGTCCTCTTAGTACCAAAAGATCAGCCACTGATCTTAAGTATTCTTCATTCATGGTAGCTTTAGCCTTCTTCACCAACTCCAAAGCATATCCCAGAGGATTTTTGCATAGAGGTTCAGCCTTTGAAACTGCAGCTGGAAATGCAAATGCATTGCCATAGTATCCCAAGGGAAGACGTACATTGTTCTGCTTTCCCCGCGCATTGACAATGCATGAAACGCGAACAACCTGTTTTGGATTAATTTTAAGTGCAAGAGTGCGACATTTCCACAAACAAGCTGTGATCAAGTCAAATGTGGAGAAAGTGGAAATTAGGTGGGGTGGAATCTGTTTTCGAAGGACTCTCATCTCCTTGGCACCAAAGTAGAAAGATCGTTGAACCATGTTTGACTGGTTACTGTACGCGCATGAGCCATCAGAATGATCAATCACATCTTCATATTCATGATGAGCACATGTTATTCTTGGTGGATCTCGGGCGAACAAGAGCTCTCTCTCCCACATTGGTAGAATAGATGGTGCGTGTATTACGCCTCTTGCCATCTCCGCAACGGCGGTCAGGAACTGGAGAAATCCAGGTGCATCACACATTGTGTGGTTTAGGCGCAATGCAAGTATGAAACCTCCACATGTAAGACGGGTCACCTGCATATTGCAAAAGTTAGTTACTAGACTTTTTTCTTGATCATCCTATTCGTGCTAGTTAACAATTCCTTAGAAGAAAAGACAAAAAAAAACTATCTAAATTAGATGATCTAATTAGGAATTTAGAAAGAGTCTCGTGCATGTTGTAGTTACTTGAAAGAGTCTTTATAATACAGAGGAATTTAGACAAAATGCTTATAGAAGATAGAAAAATTTAGACAGAAGACAAGGAGGATGACATGACGACAGGCAAAAAACCTAGAAGAAGAACGACAAAGGAGAACCTACGCAATAAAGGTGATGTGAGACTAATAGAAAACCTAGGACCTATTACCATGTAGAAATGTAATTTCCTCAATCCGGTGTACATACAAATTTTACAATACATAGGGTTAAACATAAGGATTGTCGAAGAAAAATCAATTTCGAAAAATGACAAAATGTGTCTCATAATCTTTTCTTTTCAAAACCACCTAATGAACTTTCTTTAATTATAAGAACAAAGAGGCGTGGTAGTATCGTAGATAAGTTCAAGTTTTAGTGTAATGGCAATATGATAAATTTTCGTTTATGAAAAAGGTTGCCAATTTTATGAAAAAGTTAAAAACAGTTGGATGCCACCAAACTTCAACTTATCTACAATATTATTAGCACTTTCTTGTTTATGTCCTTATTTTCATTAAAAATTCATATGTTGTTGATTGCACTAATTTCTTACAAAAAATCTCCAGCGTATGTATGCTATCTTAATGCAAAAAAAACTACTCTTACCCTTAACCTACTTCATTTTTTTGTAAAGAATTAATGGTTATGACCAAATATGAATACAAAAAACTAATTAACATGTAATTAATATTAATTAACTCACCTGAACCAGCAGCAAGGGACAACCAATAATTCCATCAGACCCTAGGAAATTAAATAAGAACTCCTCTAAGAGTGGACAAGGGGGTAGAATTTTGTCTCCTAGTTGCTCAAGTGTGACATTAGCAGAAGCCTCGACGAACAAGATACCTTCACCATTGCAATCGACCATGAGCTTTCTGTCAGGCCCTTCCCTAAGCCTACCAGCTAAAGGGTAGTAATACACTAATGCTCTACTTAAGGCTTCCCTAATCGTCTTAACGGGATTACGATTTTCATTAAGTGAAGGGTTGTCTTTGTAGCACATTATGATAGGAAGCTGAAACCTCATGCCTTCCTGATCGTCAATATCTGAGAGAAACTTTGTTTCTCGAGGCGTTGGCTTTGCCGGAATTATAAGTTCCGGCTGCAATCGTTTCACCTGAAGTACTGAGGATGGCATCATTTCAGTAACGAGCTTAAGAACCAGCAAAAGATCAAAGGATTTGGAACTTTTATTTTGTGGTATGCATGCTAACTAAAAGTTGATAGCCAGTACTTATATAGCGTTATGCAGATGCTTTAGGGTTCCATCCAAGTTTCCACACATTGTGAATGTGATTCTTTTCTTTTCCATTAAAAATGTTGTTAGAAAGAAAGTTTAAATCACGCAATCAACATGGGCTGCAGAAGAAAAAAAACAAAAAAAAACCCTAGATTCGTACGTATACATTAATGCTGAATTTCATTTCAACAACAGAAAACTGTACACTAACAGAGATATGAGGACATGTGTTCGGTAAAAAACCTTTGATACGAATGGAAGGAAAATACGTCGCACGTACCTGCCCCAATTGACGTCTGCTATATAGGAAAACGTTGTTCTTTAATGACTAGCATATTAGCACGGGAGAATATTGTTTCACATTATTATTAATTTTGATTGATCTGGTATATCGACTACTCAATTAAAAGTTTGTTATACTGAAGAAAGCTGAGGCTTTGTAAAATTAATCCACAATATATGAAGCAGTTTAATCACTTATAAGCAGATGTAAGGTCGTTTTTTATCCGATGTAGAATTCATACTCTCAATACGCACCTTCATGTGTGGCAAATTTTTAAGCTTAGCACGTGAACAACACAAACCACGTGGCATGGAGCACGTCAAGTGTTGGGCTTCATACATGAGACAATATGCCCTGATACCATGACGAAAGTTGAGGTTCCATCGCCACTTCGTACTACAGTTTAATGATATTCCTCTTCACTTGTAAGTGAGAGATTTTTTATTCAATTCTCGCTAAAGACGAATTTAAACCACATTATTGTTAACTTATTGTGAGTCTAAGCCCACCATCTTCCCTTTAGTGTAGATAATGTCGTTTGTTCATAAATAAAAAATTAATAAAAAAAGTAGTGAGGTTCAATCATAAAACTAATTGACAATGTAAACAAAATAGAACTCAGACAATATGAGATCCATACTCTCAACATATCACTGTTAAGCAAATATGTACGAAAACAAAATGGAACAAATAATTCGATAACTTGACAAAATAGAACCCACTGAAGACAATATTATGTTTGTTACAGATAGGACTCACTAAACCATGAGCTGGAGGCCCAGTGGTAAATGGCAGATTGCGGGACTTCCTTCAAATTAAAAAGTGGAGGTCTTGGGTTTGAAACCTGCTGCTGGTGGAAGCCAGATTTATGGCCAGGGGAGGCTAAAATGCCTCTGTAAGTCTTCTCGGCCTCTGAAAGCGGTGGATAATCGTGACTTGTCACCAGTTGTCCCCCTTTTAAAAAGAAAAAAGATAGGATCCACTGAAGACAATATTATGTTTGTTAAAATGGAAATGGAGCTTCTGATTACACCCAACTTTTATCTTTTCTCACCCAACAAACTCTTTTTGCTTTACAAGATTTAAAAAACATAAACATCTACTCTCCGCACTCACCAAATCTTCCAAAATTACCCCTTCCAAATCCTCTATCTTACACAATATATCTTCTCATCCAACAACACCCCTACCTAATCCTTCTCTTTCTTTTTTTATTGTCATAAGGTAAATATTTATTACCAACATAACTTACATATAGGACTGGAAGCCTAAACACACAAAAAATATAAAGCAACTGATGAGCCTCCAGAACAACAACAAAAGAAAAGCCGAATCCGAAAGTTGAGCCCATTACAGAAAAACACGCAAGAAAACCCTAAACTCCAAGATCCTTTTCCTCCACTAAAGTGCTTGCTGTTGATGACGATCCAGTCCCCCCTACAAATCGTCGGAGATAAGACCCAGCCAAGCTCTGAAACAGAAAAAAGAAACAAATTTCATCGTCCTCGAACAACCTCTCCACACAACAAATCGCAACCGCCAAGAGAATGAAGGGAAAGAAAAGAAACAAATTTCATCGTCGTCGAGCAACCTCCCTACCATCCCTCTCTATCTTACACGATATATCTTCTCATCCAACAGCCTCCCCTTCAACGTGGGGCTGCCTAACCCACTTTCCTCCATCAATATTCGGTTCTTCATCAAGCTATGCACACTCTTTCGAAAATTCAACTTAATTATAAGGAATATGAAACCAGCAGCTCCTTGCAACTAC